AGCAAATTTACTTGATTTTAGGGGTAGCAAAAACCTTTAAATTTATGCAGATCAATTATGACCTATATTAGAGATGTCCGGGGTCCTATTAAAATACAACTAGTTATATATGTACTTTTAGTATTTAATTTAAGTAATCTACTTGAAGGTTTTATACTAGATACCTGTACTTGCAACTTAATTACAAAGTGTATTTATTTAAACTTTCTAATCACAACTATCAGTTACTTGTTATTTAATTAAAATGTAACTATTATATGATTAGTAGCTTTTTATAACATCTATAGATTTTGTACCTATCTTAGAATCTACTAACTATTTTTAGTATTTTTATCTATAAGATAAAACTAATAAAGTAAATCATATTCTATATATATTTTATCTATATATTTAATAATTTTTTCTTTATTAGTATATATATACTACTGCTATTGTATTTGTATTTCAAGCTATCTTTAAATACTACTATAATACAATCTATATTTCAAGCTATATCTTTCTAATTGGTTTTTCTATTATATATTTTTGCCTTTATAAGATTTACATAACCCTAGTATTTATTTTTTTTTTGGATTCTTTACTAGTTCCTCTTGTATTTCTAGCCAGTAGTCTAGAAAAGTTGGTTTGCTTAGACTTTAGATGTTTTATAGTTTCTAAAGCATATATATTTTTCCTCTAGTATTATAGGCCTAGCAGCTAAACTAACATATTTTCTACTTAAGGATTTAATTGTTTGATACTCTTAAAATTATTTTTATTGTTTAAAAAATAATCGGTTATATAATTCAAAATTTTCGTGGTCATCCTGGTAGATGAGTATCGAACATATTTCCATTGTTCAAATTCTATTTATGCCAACTCTAAGTTCAGCCATAGCACTAGATTTAGCCTTTTTAATATATATTATAATTTTAATATTAATTCTTAATATTAAATCAATATTGATTTTATTAGATCAATAAAGTTAATATTAAATTAACATTGGTTTCAATACAATATTTAAATTAGTACTGATTTTAATATTTAGCTCAGAATAAAGAAATTTAAAATTTGGTATAATAAATTTAATTATTTAAAGTTAAAAATATTAAGATTTTCTATTATATTTGGTTTTTATATTATAACAATTGCTATTTGTATATATACACATATATTTATATGATTATTAATAGCTTTTGGGGTTCTAACAAAAAATCTTCCTTGCAAAATTTTAGTACAAACTATAATCTTCTTTAATCTCAAAGCTGCTTTTACCCTAACTTTAAGCTATACTAATTTTTTATTTACAATTTATATATATATAAAGAAGCAAATAGATACAAATAATACTATAATAATTTTTTTAAAAATACAACTTAGAACCAATTTAGAATATTAATTTACATATTAATGATTTGAATATTGAATGTTTTAAGTTTTTTAGCTATCTTAATACTAGTATCAAGATATTTTTCAAACCTTGTAAGGAGAATATTTAATCTAGTATTGGAAATCTTTTTTGAATTCTCAAGAGTATATTTTTTATCTTGTTGGAAAGAACCTCTAGATATTTCCATATTCATTATATCTATATATGTAAAATTTATAACCAGTATATTAGCTTTTTTAGATACTAGTTTACCAATTAAATTATTTACAAACTCTGCTGCTTTTGTTGATATTATTATTTTTTCAATTCAATATGTTGTAATGGTTCTAAATACATATTCAACAAGTTTAAAAGATGTTAATACTTTTTAATAAAAAATTTTCTTTCTAAATTATATCTCATAAGAATATAAATATTTATATAATTTTTTGTCTTAGTTTGTAATATTTTTGTCTTGCAATTACTCTATAAGATATTTATTTTTTTTATTTTTTTAATGTTAAAGGTGAGACCTCTATAAGATATTTATATAACTTCTTGGAAATAATTAATAATAAAGTTTTTTGCAACTATATCTTAAAAATTGTTTTTAGGCTAGTTAGCATTTTTTGCTTTTTTTTATAATTTTCAATCTTATTTACTACATCTGAAAATTATTTTAGAAGTATTTTTAAAGAATTTAAACTCTAGAATAACTTAAAAATAATATATTAAACTTATATAATATAAGAATTGGTTTATAAGAAGTTAAAAACAATTTTAAATTTTTTGTTTATTATTTCCAGTTCAAATTTTATTTGTTTTTCATTGATTCACACTTTTTTGTACTCTATTTTTTGTTTTACTTTGAGTATTAAATTTGGTTTTTGTAAATATACTAATACTTTTATTGTTATTTTTAAGCTTTACTTTTTTTATATTTTATTTAGCTATATAATTTTTTTAGCAACTTTTTTTTTATTAATTTTGAGAATATTTTAAAAAGAGATGTCTCTAAATTAATGCAATATTGTATAATTAAAAAATATAAGCAAAACATATATAGTTACACTTTTAAATAAAATACTAGTTCTGATTTTAAATAATTGTTCTTTATATTTTTTTTTTAGTAGCTATAGTCAGTTCTAGATATACCAGACTACATATTCTAAACTATTTTATTTAATATACAGTAAGTAAGTTCATTATATAATTTACTCTCTTTATACCAAACTATTTAGTATATAAAGCTAACCAATAAAATTTTTTACAAAACCAAATTGCTTTCAAAAATTGTAATTTAGTATAAGAACTATTTAAATAAAAGTTTAATAAGTATTTTATATTATTGTAAATATAATATTATACAATATAGCATTACTAATAAATTAAAATTTTTTAAATAAAATTATTTTTATATATAAACTATTATACTAGCATTATCATAGCTTTTACTATAAAAGTATTTGCTTTTATTATTATAGATATAGCTAAATTAGTTAAAAAGTATAAAATCTTTTTTGTTAATATAGTTCTTAATAGTTAAATAGAAAATTTTTCTTATATTTATTTATAAATTTTTTTCTAATAGCAAAAGAGCTATATTTTAAGTTTTTTTGTCTATAAACTTATATTTTACATTTTTTTTTATCCTTAATTTTAAATTTATCAAAGTATAATATACAGATTATTAGAGCATTAACCTTTATATAAATAACCAACTAACAAATATTTATTTTTATTTTATTTTTACTTTAGAGTTGTCACTTAAACTAGTTTAGTCTACTAGATAGTTAATGGGTTTAAATAATTTAGTCTAGTTATATGAAATAAAATATTATTCAATCAGAAGTAATAATTAGTATTAATATTAATTTATATCTTTGAAAAGAATAACTTTTAATTCACTAGTTAATTTTGAATGACTTTATTACCAAAATTACTATCTTATTGAGTTGATTCTATTAAGTCTAAAATTATTAAAATCCAATTACAGAATCCCAATATTATTAAAGATTTGTGTTATTTTAAATATTTAAAAATTATTTAAACCAATAATTAATGATTCTGTGATCCTGTAATTGAATTTTAGCAATTTTGGTTTATTGGAATTGTTCCAATAAGTAATCATTTTGGTAGTAATAACATTCAAAGTAAACCAATAAATTAAAAGTTATTGCATTTAAAAATATCAATATATTCATTGAACTGGACATAAAGTTCAGTCCAGCATCTGTAAAAGACTGGAATAAGTTCAATGACAACCATATAAGGTGGTCATTATGGCGAATTGAACATATTACAAGGAAACAGGATTTTTTTTACTGGGCAAATCGAATTTCATCCACTATTGGAAATATACCCTCAAATTTGAACCGATTTGGATTAATCAACTCTTGATGCAGAAAATTTATTTATTGCGCCACGAAAAAAGCCTTTAATAAAAAGCTATCCATATTGCGCCAAAATTTGAGGATAAGTAAAAGATGGCATTTTGAACAACTTGTCGATTTGCTTAATAAAAAAATCTCGTTTTAAGTGAAACCGATTTTTAATTAAAAAAAAATTGCCGTCACATGAAGAGAAACGTATTATGAATAAAAAGATCATCGGTTTACATATCAATGTGTTCTTTTACTCTCAAAATCTTCCATGTAGCATTGCATAATTTATATAAAGCGTAATTTTTTTATACGTAAAATTAGAGTGCCACCAAGAGAAAACTTGTCATCGGGCTTCTAAGTGCCGTCTAGAGAAAATCTGTCATCGGGCTTCCAATTATATTTTGTGACAAATTGTCAAAAATGCAATTGAAAGCTGATGATAGATTTTCTCTTGGCGGCACTCATTAGCTAATATATGTAAATTAAAAACTTTTGGCCAAAGGTTATAATACAGTAGATCAAAATAAGACTTTAATCAATAATTCGATTTTTAAGTGATTTGTTAATATAATTGAAATTTTGCAAATACAAAAAATAATAAGCCAACTGCCTAAATTGCTTATTTAAATATTTACCAATTTCTATATATAATATTACAGTATGTACAGTTTATTTTTAAAAGATAATATTTACTTTATATCGATATTAATTAATAATGATACAGTATATAAATTGTCCATGTGATATTGCAAGAATTATAAATAATGAGAGCGGATATGATAAATGGTTTAATGAACCTAATTGCATTCGATATATATATTAGAGCTGAACCGTTCTTACAGACCAGAAACAAATTGGACAGGTTCAGAAGACTGGTTCGGACCATGGCCTTTTTTCGACTCAACTTGATAACACGTGTATTCTTTAATAGGTTTGGCCAATTCCACTGGCATACTCAATCTTATTTCAAATTTTCTAACATTTACTGCGGCATTAGACTTTGTAGCCGGAAGACTATAACGATTGTCCTTTTTAAATTTATTGCTTTTACTATTACTATATTTTCCATGTCTCAATAAAGGTTCATTTTGGACAAGTTGCAATGGCTTCAGTCTCGAGTCTGAAATACGTCTCTGGTTTCTTCTTTGTCGATAAAGAACAATCGCAATTACAAAAATTAAAAGTAATCCAAGTATTGCCGCGGTAACTATCATCAATGTGATTAAAGTTGTATTATTGGTTAAACTAGAGAATTGTCGTTTGTAAAGATGTTTGCTCAAATTTATAGGTGTTGATACACGGTTATGCAACATTGTAAAAATTTTCTATTAGATATATATTATTTATGTAAAGAAAAAGTCCCTTTTGGTTTGACTTTGTTTTTTTCGTTTTCTTTATATAATGAATTTTATCAAATGACTGATATAATTTAGTAATCCGATTGTTTTCAAAGAATTATTTGTTTCCTATTCAGTATTAGTAATGAACTGCTGAAAAGAGCATAGGTATGTATCATATTCTAAAAATATATTCTATTTTAAAAGAATTATTTTGGGATGCCGCAATAAATGGGAATTTCTTAACCTGTCACGTGACACGAAAGAAAGTTCTATTTTAACCCAGGTTAAAATAACTTACCACGTGATTTGTGTCTAGTATGATTTTCCTGAAATTAGTAATGCAACTAAAATTTTTACTCTAGGATAAGTGTCTGACCAGTCTAAATTAAATATGTAGTAAATTGACTGTCTGATCTCTAACCCTATTTATTACCTCTAGTAAACTAAGTTTTTTTAAATATTTTATCCCTTACACCGTCTAGCAAATAGTTTGTAGCTCTCCCACAAAAAATTTTCCCTCGATTTTTATGTAAGGGCCGCACAAAATTATATACTTGGTTTTCATATCATGGAACAGTGAGCGGCTTTTTTTTTTATAGTAAAAAAATTCTTTTTTAAATAATACTAAATAAGTAGCTGCACGACATTGTCGCACTAAACCAGGAACGGATGAATGTAAACTTAGATAACTCCAATATATATAGTTTTGAATTCAGTTAAAGGATATTCGTCTAAAAAATACAGCATAAATATATTGATATAAGACTCTATAATTTAAACAAACAAGAAATTTCGTAAGATTTTACGATGTATATAGTAAGGTATACTTACAGGACTTTTTTTGCCACGTATAAAAATTCTTAAATTTTTATATTTATTTATAAAATTTTAAATATAAAATCTACAATCAATTGATAATGTAAATATATAATTTATTTATATTTTTTATATATAAAAATTTATTTTAATAATGGCAAATTTAAAATTCATATCATTTATAAATAAAAAAAGCAACTGACCTATTTCCGTGGATATATAATAGGCATTATTCTTTGTTAAGTAAATTGAATATTTATTAAATAAATGTGTCCGTGGTGCTAAATTACAAACAATATAAAATTTTTATAGAAATTGGATGAGATTTTATTAATAGGTTTGGTCACTTGGTTTTAAGGTATGTATAGAAAATCAAATTTATTTCCGTAGATGATATATCTTGGGATCCTGTGATCCAATTTGAATGATTTTTGATACCATTAGATTCGTTTCAGTGAGACAAGATCACGAGATATACAACTACAGAAATATTGAAAATAGATAGTTATGCCTTATATCTCGGAATCCTGTGATCCAATTTGGACGATTTTGATCTCGTTAGATTTGTCTCAGTGAGACGATTCGAATGATATCATTCAAATCGAATCACAGGATCATGAGATATACAATCCGCAGAAATTGAATTAATAAAAATAGGTAAATTTATATTATATCTCAGAGTTATGTTTCCCAATTTGGATGATTTTGATGCTATTAGATTCATCTCAGTGAGACGATTCGAATGATGCCAAAATAAATTGGATCACAGGATCGCGAGATATTACAATCCGGTTGATCCCCGAAAATAGGTATGTATACCTTATAGAGTGTCTTTAAAAACGGGATTACAGAATAGCAGTAGGTATTTGTAATCTAGTCTGGTAACTTACAGCTATTATATATAATAACTGTATGGTACGGTTATAATAATAAAACCATACCATACTAATCTCATAATAATATATTATTATATATATATATCGAATTATATAGTTATGATTTTCTAATTAGAAAACTATACCGATACCATAGTGATCTGGTAGGAGTTCGGCAGGGCAGCCCCTCCAAAGTCCGGTTACATGATGGTCGATGATCCATATTGGTTTATTTCATATGTGAAGTCCTTATCATACTCTTTTTGAATCGTGATAATGATTGGAAGTCGATCATCTACCCGGCAGGGTGTAGATCATCGACCACCATGTAATCGGACTTTGGGGGCCGCCCTGTCGAACTCGATCTGGTAGCTATACATTTTTTTTTACAAATTTTATAATTACATAAATGAGTAACGGAAAGAAAATGATTACGTATCAAATTTATCTTATTGAATCAGTTTCCATAAGTCATGTCAGAATTGGTGGTGATAATGAGTTTTGAAAATAAAAAATTAAAAAGTTGGGCCAGAACTACTAATAGGCCATACAAATCTATGCTATCGGTTTTTCATATCTTGGCCGAGTCAGTAGAGTGAGAGTCTGAAATTTTTGTTTCTTACATTATTCTTGGAAAGTTCCAGCATCGGCCAACGTTGGTAATTTATCAGCCCTGAATTTCTAACTTATCAACTCTGTTATCGCTAATTCTAAAATGTCTGTAATATATCGGCTAATACTGTAGAAATTCTCCATAGATAATCATACGATTAAAGCGATATTGATCTTTATTGTCATATGCACCAACTAAACTAACGCGAATGAAATGCCACCAATTAATAAATAATCTTATTATACTCAAATGCGAATGATTTAGATATAATGGTAAATAAGTATTTATGGCTTAAATTGTGAACTTGTTTGTTGATTTTACCTTTTACTCACCAACACGAATGAAATAATTTGCACGTAGTGGCAAGTAGATATTTATGATCTTGGCTTGTGACTTGTTTGCCGATTTTAATTTCACTAATTAATAAAATAATTTAAATCAATGCGAATGAAATGATTAGTATTTATAATCTTGTGAACTTTAATGTTTCTTATACTCACCGACTAAATTAATGTGAATGAATTGGGTGTTCCGCCGATCTTTTACACACTAGCTATTGCGATTTGCAAAATTTTGGATTCCATTGATCGTTTGAGTTCTCATCGATTATTTTAGAGGTTGGTCGGGCTTATTCTCAAAAGTTCTCTTGACACTCTTATATGCAATAGAAATATTTTAACTGTGCTACAATCACAATTTACTATGGTGCAGTAAAATACTTATATTCCATATAAGAGCGTCAAGCGATCTTTAAGAATAAGCCCTGACTAATCTCTAAAATAATCGATTAGAACTAACCTCAAAAAACTTTTGATTCACAATCACAATCGATCGTGGAGTGATGATGATCACGATCAATGATCCAGAATTTTGCAAATCGCAATAATGCTAATGAATGATTTGTACGTAGTGATAAGTAGATATTTATGATTTTGACTTGTGAACTTGTTTTGTCACGTCGGCTAAATCAATGCAAATGAATATAATAATAAATAATATTTATGAACTTTAATTATAAATTTGTTTGCCATTTTAATTGCAACGATTAATAATCTTTATACTTACCATTTAAATTAATGTGAGTGTACACTTGAATTGTGAACTTATTTCACCGACTTTAATTCTACCGATTAATAATTAATCTTTTACTGGCTAAATCAATACGAATAAAATGAGTGGTAATTGAATATTTATAATCTTGACTTGTGAACTGGTTTTGTCGATTTTAATTCCACCAATTAATAAATATGCCCTGGGAAATCTATAAAGAAATGGATTAGTTCCCCATATAAAATACGGAATTTGCAGCGAATTCCGTATGTAATACGAAATTATTATACTAAATATTCCGTATACGTAATTCATTTAAAATTTCGTAAAACTTTTTTTCATATGGATGCAGTATCCATGCACATCAGTTATCTCTAGATTTTTACGTGCATAAATCATTGATACGTAATATTAAAATTAATGTTAAATGACAAATGATTTAAAATTTTCTGATTAGGCAAAGCACTCAAGCTGGTTCCTTATGTTTTAAAATTTTCTGGATACTTGAAACAGTTTTTCACGGTTTAAATTCTTTGGATGGGTTTGAAGTACTCTAAATACTGTAGCTTTTATCTTTTAGAATTCTCTAGTACCAGGTCAAAGTACTTGAAACAGTTTCTCATTTTTTAAATTCTCTGAGTAGACCAAAATGCTCTAGTTTTTCACGGTTTAAATTTCTCTAAGTAGGCTAATGCAGGGCCAACTATTTCTGTGATGATATATATTTATTTATTTTTAAAAATAATAAATAACATCACAGAAATCATCGGCCCTGGGCTAAAGAGCTTCTTACGTTTTAAAATTTTCTGGATAGATCAAAGTACTTATAATGAACTAAAATGAAATCAGATTAAATGAAAAAATATAAATTTCTGGGGTGCATTTTTCTAGCATTTTTTTTCTTTAGGCTAAGGGAGTAGGATTTATAATAAACAAGTATGAATAGGTTTTATGTGGTTAAGTAGAAATTCAAATTTCATTTTAACCCAATTAAATTTATTTTTTACAATATAAAAATTTTAATAGACAAGTTATTAAGAAAAATATACTTATACAGTATACATTATAAAGTTTTTCCAAATTTTCTATAGCAATTTATAATATCTAATTTTTAGATACATGTTTTTAATGAATATTTAACCAAATTTTAGTAAATTTACCACTATTGAAATTGTCGTATCTAAAGTTACAGTTGCAGATCTTCATACATATAATTCTGGTTAGATGCAACTTTATATATCTAAAGTTGCAACTTCAGATAGATAGTAACTTTAGATACGACAAATTCAACATTTTTTGGCCGCCCACGGTTATGCATTTAGAGATTTTTTTTTAACCATATCAAGATCAGTACTGCCGATCCGTCCATCAGGAATACGTAGTATTTTTGCATTAGCATTACTGATTCGTATTTAATTTACTCGTGTCACGTCATCATAATTTGATGGATACGTATCAATAACTTGGCTATGGTTAACAATTAGGTGGCCGGATTAGTGTTGCCGGTGATTTCTAAATTAAAGTCAAATTTTCATATTCGTTCAACAAATAGTTCATTGTTACAAGTGTAACTTGATAGTCTTGTGTTTGTCGTATTTTAATTC